CAAAAAAATTTTTACCACAAAAAAATTTAGGATTGACCGCGCTGCATGAAAAAGGCTTGCTCAACCGCTCATGAATCAGATCCAATTTCATTTTTGCAGCAGAAAGCACGAGGAAATTAGTGAAAAAATTAGAAGTCTGAAAATAACTAGTATATATGCTGTTTGGGAACATACAATAAGCTAATCCACATAGCAGTTCATAAAATCGATATATCGATCAGATGCTGCCGATGGTGTTGGTAATCAAAGGTAATCAGGAAGTAAGATCACTTCTTCAATGGGAAGCATTTTTCAAATAACATCTCAGCTAACAACAGGCCCCACCTTAAGACGGAACAATCACTAACACCTCAAAAAACACCATTTGGATGCGGGATGTTTCAGCGTGGCCCTAGACGTGAATCTCAGCGAATTCGGACAAAGAAAAACGGCATCGACGGAGGTACTCATCCATCCATCCATGCCGGCCGCTTGGCCGGCAACACTGGTTGGACGAATCCTTTTATCGTCACGCAACAGGTCGCATGTCCAATCAGGCGCGGAGCTACCGGGCTTGGAGAGGACATGGGCCGGGGGACGAGTGCCGGCTCTGAATGTGGCGAGCGCAATGAGAGGACGGAACGATACTGGTCTCGTTTTCGTGCTCGCCTCGTCGCGTCGCGAGCGGCATGTACGGACCGCGATGATTCAGAGAACGTTCGCTTCGTTCCAATCATCGTCATTCCTTCCACCAGGGCTGAGGGGCGGTTTTGCAGAGCGGACGAGCGCGTTCCTCGCCGCTCGCTCTGCAACACTTCAGCCGTTGCTGGAACGAATGTGTGCACGAAAGAAAGAAACACGTACATAGGGCGGCTACAGCGCACACTGTGCTTCCTCTATGTTCGTCGTTTCTCTGCAAATGCAGACCGCGGACAAAAAAACTGCATTTCAGCGAAATGTCACGTCCTCCACCATCGGCATGGAAAAACCTTTGAACTTTTGACTCAAATGAGGAACTCGAACACAAATGCGGACAAGGAATTGATGGATTTTCATTAGAGATAGAAGGACAAATTTGCAGCGATACCGTAACCCGAGTTCCACTCAATGGCCTGAACGTGCGCGATTCTCTGATTAATAGGCCAGCAAACGGAGGACACAGGACTAGGAACGCACAAAATGACCTTATTCGTTTTATTTGGCGAGTAGGAACAGCGCAATAGGCAAGCTCTTCAAAGAGCAGATAATGAAATTTACTGCACGAACAAGGAGAGAGATTTACACCTAGCCAGAAGTCCAAAATAATGCGCAGTTCCACAAAAAAAGAAACAGTGCTGCAAAAAGTGAGCCTTCAGATTTAACTTGAAGGCAGTATTACAATCTGATGGACTTCTTGGCGGATACTGATTTTGAGGACTTCGCCAAACCAGT